ATGTATGTGTATGTGTGTGTGTGTGTGTGTGTGTTTGTGTGTGTGTGCGTGCGTGTGTGTGTGTGTGTGTGTGTGTGTTTGTGTGTGTGTGTGTGACGGAAAACTGAGTTGACCAAGGGAACATTTTCAAAACCTCGAGGAAGTAATTAAAAATAAAAAAAATACTTCATTACACAAATAAAGATTACATAAGCTTTCGACAAGTCACAAAAAAAAAAAAAAAAAAAAAAAAAGCCTCTCTACCTGTTATATATCTATATCACATTAGCCTATTGTATATTACAAGATTAAAGTAACCGCATCTTTCTGATATCAGTATTGCATCGTAAATAAAAATCATTTTTTCATTCAACGCTCACCTAACAACCCACCATAGTAGAGATCGCAATGGAATATTATTATTAAGTTAAATATCACTTTATTATCATAACAAATGGCACTTTATTATTATAACTTAAATGGCACTATATTATCATTATTTGAATATCACTTTATTATCATAACGTAAATATCACATTATAATTATAACTTTAATGTCACTTTATTATTATAACTATGATTATAAAATGTCACTTTATCATCATGATTTATTATCACTTTATTATCATAACGTAAAGATCACTTTATTATTATAACTTAAATGTCACTTTATTATCATAACTATAATCATAACTTGTAGTCACTTTATGATTATAACTTGAATATCACTTTATTATTATAACTTAAACTTTAACCTTTCCTTACGTAATTCATCATCAATATATTTTTTTTATCGATTTTTTCAGTGAATTTCCCCAAAGTCTAATCTCTGTCTGTTATCACTATATTCATCCCACGTATCCCAAGAGGCTTATTAAGCACTCTGATTCGCTACAGGTAAGAGCAAAGGTGAGTCTAAGTTGACCTGTTTTTAAATCATTTATCTTTTTTGTTTATTTACATTAGTTAGATGTTAACAAATGGTGTTAATTTTTTTTTTTTTTTTTTTTTACATTAGTTAGATGATAACAAGTGGTGTTCATTTATCTTTTTGTTTATTTACATTAGTTAGATGTTAACAATTGTTCATTTATCTTTTTGTTCATTTACATTAGTTAGATGTTAACAAGTGGTGTTCATTTATCTTTTTTGTTCATTTACATTAGTTAGATGTTAACAAGTGGTGTTCATTTTTTTGTTTATTTACATTAGTTAGATGTTAACAAATGGTGTTAATTTTTTTTTTTTTTTTTTATTTACATTAGTTAGATGTTAACAAGTGGATGTTCATTTATCTTTTTGTTCATTTACATTAGTTAGATGTTAACAATTGTTCATTTATCTTTTTGTTCATTTACATTAGTTAGATGTTAACAAGTGGTGTTCATTTATCTTTTTTGTTCATTTACATTAGTTAGATGTTAACAAGTGGTGTTCATTTATCGTTTTGTTTATTTACATTGGCTAGATGTTAACAAGTGGTGTTTTTTTTATTTTTTTTTTTTTATTTACAATAGTTAGATGTTAACAAGTGGTGTTCATTTATCTTTTTGTTCATTTACATTAGTTAGATGTTAACAAGTGTTTCATTTATCTTTGTTTATTACATTAGTTAGATGTTAACTGGTGTTTTTTTATTTTTTTTTGTTATTTACAATAGTTAGATGTTAACAAGTGGTGTTCATTTATCTTTTTTGTTCATTTACATTAGTTAGATGTTAACAAGTGGTGTTCATTTATCTTTTTTGATTATTTACATTAGTTAGATGTTAACAAGTGGTGTTAATTTTTTTTTGTTTGTTTGTTTATTTACATTAGTTAGATGTTAACAAGTGGTGTTTTTTTTATTTTTTTTTTTATTTACAATAGTTAGATGTTAACAAGTGGTGTTCATTATCTTTTTGTTATTTACATTTAGATGTCAAGTGTTTCATTTATCTTTTTTGTTTTACATTAGTTAGATGTTAACAAGTGGTGTTCATTATTTTTTTGTTCATTTACATTAGTTAGATGTTAACAGTGTTGTTTTCATTTATCTTTTTTGTTCATTTACATTAGTTAGATGTTAACAAGTGGTGTTCATTTATCTTTTTTGTTTATTTACATTAGTTAGATGTTAACACAAAACATTAGTTCAAGTGGTGTTCATTTATCTTTTTTGTTCATTTACATTAGTTAGATGTTAACAAGTGGTGTTCATTTATCTTTTTGTTTATTTACATTAGTTAGATGTTAACAAGTGGTGTTCATTTATCTTTTTTGTTCATTTACATTAGTTAGATGTTAACAAGTGGTACATTTACATTAGTTAGATGTTCATTAATATTTTTGTTTATTTACATTAGTTAGATGTTAACAAGTGGTGTTCATTTATCTTTTTTGTTTATTTACATTAGTTAGATGTTAACAAGTGGTGTTCATTTATCTTTTTGTTATTTACATTAGTTAGATGTTAACAAGTGGTGTTCATTTATCTTTTTGTTCATTTACATTAGTTAGATGTTAACAAGTGGTGTTCATT